GCTTTTGTTTTATTTTATTGAACGCTGGTGCAAGTATGTTGAAAATAGTCATTTGACATGTGTTTTTGTGTCTTTGACATATGTCTTTTTAAGTGTAATTTCTGTGTCTTCTAAAAAACTTGGACTTTAAGATATGTTGTTAATTAACAATTGTGATTCCATATTGCTCCATAGGAGAATTTGGTGAGGTCTACCGTGGTTCTCTGAAGATACCGGGGCGCTGTGAGGTCGCCGTAGCGATAAAGACCCTGAAGCCAGGCTACACTGAGAAGCAGAGGCTGGACTTCCTTAGTGAAGCCAGTATTATGGGCCAGTTTTCCCATAAGAACATTATCCGCCTGGAGGGTGTTGTCACCAAATGTAAGAATCATCCTGTCAAATCATAGTTTCCAGTACTTTAGAATACCTTTCCACAAAACAGTACATGTTTTAACAGGATGTTCCCGTCTATTTATTATTTCAGTCAAAGACGCCATGATTATCACAGAGTACATGGAGAATGGAGCTCTGGACCAGTATTTAAGGGTGTGTTTCTGTCAGCAAATGTTAATGTTTAATCTGAATACCTTTGCTAAGATGTAGCACTAATCACTAATCCGTTTCTTTCTTCTCCACAGGACCATGATGGGGACTTTTCCTCATACCAGCTTGTGGGAATGCTCAATGGCATAGCGGCAGGAATGAAGTACCTCTCAGACATGAACTACGTTCATCGGGACCTTGCAGCTCGCAATGTTCTGGTCAACGGCAACTTGGAGTGTAAAGTCTCCGATTTCGGCCTGTCGCGAGTGCTGGAGGACTATCCTGAGGGAACCTACACGACTACTGTAAGTTATATGAATGCATAGCGTCATAATAAAATAATTATAGAAATTTATCAAAGCATTCTTTTCATGATTTTAAAAATGAATATTTCGACATTGTTCTAAAATGATTTTCTGAGTGAATACTGAGTGAACCTTAACTCTTACTCTTTTAGGGAGGAAAGATTCCTATTCGCTGGACGGCACCTGAGGCAATAGCGTACAGGAAGTTCACTTCAGCCAGTGATGTGTGGAGTTTCGGCATAGTCATATGGGAAGTGATGTCATTTGGAGAAAGACCCTACTGGGACATGAGCAACCATGAGGTATGGGAAATGTCTTTTATTTTTGCTAATTTCTCATACTTTAGGAGGTTGGCCTAAATTGGATGATTACAAAATGCAATCCCATAAACCCTTAGCAATGCCTTAGCATGTTCTAAAAACCGATGAAATGTTTGAAGCATTCATTTAAAAGTCCTCTGTGAGCATGAGTTTCACCTTTTTCTTTGTGTATTTGATCACAGGTGATGAAATCCATAAACGAAGGCTTCAGGTTGCCGGCACCGATGGGCTGCCCATCTGCGGTCAATCAGCT